TGGCATGACCTTAAGAGAGCGATTCACACCAGACATCCCAAGAATATTGCTACACTGAAACAGTTTTGTGAAGAGGAGTGGTCCAAAATGACTCCAGATCGTTGTGCAGGTCTGATCTGCAACTACAGGAAACGTTGGTTGAGGTTATTGCTGCCAAAGGAGGGTCAACCAGTTATTAAGTCCAAAGGTTCACATACTTTTTCCTCCCTGCACTGTGAATGTTTACATGTTATGTGCAATTAAACCATGGCAACATCTAATGTTTGTGTAGTATTATGTTCAGCAGACTGTGTTCTTCTATTGTTGTGACTTAGATAACGTTCAAAGCACATTTTATGCCCAATTCATGCAAAACTCCACGTAATCCCAAGGGGTTCACATACTTTTTCTTGCAACTGTACATGGGGGAGAGATCAGCTTAACCACTTGCCTGCTGGCAATTTTTTACATTTTTCACACATACGGTTGTGTTCAAAATAATAGCAGTCAGACATCACGAACCGGATCAATCGCTGTTTTTGGTAGAAATGATATTTCTACATGGCAAATAATTTCCTAGCAGGTGTAGTAGAGTCATAGAAATCCAACAGACCCAACAGTCATGACATGCATGCTGCTGATTCTGTGTCATTGAATCACTCATTGAAAGGGGGCGTGTTCAAAATAATAGCAGTGTAGAGTTCTATTAGTGAGGTCATTCATTCTTTGAAAAACAGGTGGCAATTATTGCCCTTATTTAAGGGAAGGAAGGCAGCAAATGTTGTACATGCTGGTTACAGTGCATTTCTCTCTGAAATTCTGAGGAAAATGGGTCGTTCCAGACATTGTTCAGAAGAACAGCGTACCTTGATTATAAAGTTGATTGGAGAGGGGAAAACATATAAAGAAGTGCAGAAAATGATTGGCTGCTCAGCTAAAATGATCGCAAATGCTTTAAAATGGCAACCAAAACCTGAAAGACGTGGAAGAAAGCGAAAAACTACCATTGGAATGGATAGAGGAATAGCCAAAATGGCGCGGACTCAGCCAACAATCAGCTCCAGGAAGATGAAAGAAGGTGTGACGTTCCCTGTGAGGACTGTTACAATTAGAAGACGCCGATGTGAAGCCAAGCTATCTGCAAGAAGTCCCCGCAAAGTCCCACTGTTGGAAAAAAGACGTGTGCTGAAGAGGTTACAATCTGCCAAAGAGCACATTGACTGGCCTAAAGAGAAATGGCGCAACATTTTGTGGACTGATGAAAGTAAGATTGTTCTTTTTGGGTCTAGTGGGCGGAGACAGTTTGTCAGATGACCCCCAAACACTGAATTCAAGCCACAGTACACTGTGAAGACCATGAAGCATGGTGGTGCAAGCATCATGATATGGGGATGTTTCTCATACTACGGTGTTGGGCCTATTTATCACATACCAGGGATCATGGATCAGTTTGAATACATCAGAATACTTGAAGAGGTCATGCTGCCTTATGCTGAAGAGGAAATGCCCTTGAAATGGGTGTTCCAACAAGACAACGACCCCAAACACACCAGTAAACGTGCAACATCTTGGTTCCAGACCAACAAGATGGACGTTATGGAGTGGCCAGCCCAATCCCCGGATCTTCATCCAATAGAAAACTTGTGGGGTGACATCAAAAATGCAGTTTCTGAGGCAAAACCAAGAAATAGAGAAGAACTGTGGAATGTGGTCCAATCATCCTGGGCTGGAATACCTGATCACAGGGGCCAGAAGTTGGGTGACTCCATGCAACACAGATGTACAGCAGTTCTCAGAAACAGTGCGACTACAACCAAATATTCATGAAGTCATTCAAAGGAAAGCAAAATCTTCAAACATTTCTCAGTTTATAAAGTGAATGTTTGAGTTTGTAAAGAAGAATACAAACACTGCGACTTTTTTGAACCGTCTAATATTCACTTTTCTTCAATTTTTTTAGAGGAACAACTCAAATTTGATGTATTTTTCTTCATGTTTTGATTTGGAATAGAATGTGTCGTGTTCCCAATGCATTTGTGTGGATGGAAATAAAAGCTATTAGAAGGATTTTCAGCTTTATTCACTTTTTTCAACACACTGCTATTATTTTGAACACAACTGTATGAATCTTTATTTTTTATTTTTATCACTTTTTTTTTGCTGTCACAAGGAATGTAAACATCTCATGTGACAGCAATCAGCAGTGACAGGCAGGGGTGGACTGACCATTTGGAAACTCGGGCACTGCCCGAGGGCCTGGGGTCAGTAGGGGGCCCCATGAGATGCCCCTGGTACCTTTTTCATAGGCTTTTTTGAGTTTTGGCAAGGACACAGGGGCCCCATGATCCCCTATTGCCCAGGGGCCCCATGAGTTGTCAGTCCGCCCCTGGTGACAGGTCCTCTTTACCGGGACATCTAGGGTCTATTAAACCCCACATGTCTCCCCTGACCTTAACAGCGTCAGATCAGACCAAGATTGGTCGGATCCAATACTTGTAAAAGCTAGCAATAGCATGTAAGCAAAACCCTGAAACCGGATGACATATGCAGGTCATTTCTGGTTTCTTAGTTACATAGTTGGTCTGGCTAAAAAAAGACAAAAGTCCATCCAGTTCAACCATTAAAAAAAAAATTAAAAAATTAAATCCTATATCCACAGTTGATCCATAGAAGTGACTGGAGATGATCAGGTCTCTGAAGACCGTTATGGCAAACTGGCGCAACCACTGGCTGAACACTCCGGTCTCCCGGTGGGATGGTAGAGCCCAAGAGAGCCGTGGAATGAGACGGGGGTGAGGAGGGGAGGGGATTGGCGACCCTTCTCACTCCCTATAAAAGCCATCCAGGGGCTACTTAGCTCCTAGGATGGCTTTTACATTTTAGGGAATTGCTGGCTGCAAAGAACGATACCAGGATGATGCCTGTAGGCATCTTCCCAGTATAACCCCTTTAACCAGAGGACGTACAGGTATGTCCTTTTTGCGGAAGGAGTTAAACCCCCCAAAAGTGAATATTTTCTGAAAGCAGAGGCCCTGGAGAAAAAAATGGTGGCAGTTGCAATTTTTAATGTCACATAGCCATATTATCAAGTGCCATATATTATACCCAATCTTCTAATAAAATATAAAAGATCGGGTTGCGACAAGTAAATAGATACCAAACGCGTCGAGCCTTAAAACTGTGTGAGCCCGTTGAAGAGCAAAAAAACTATGATACTCAAAATTTTACACAAGCGATGCATTAAACGCCTTTGCAGGTTATCATTTTAGAGTGAACTGCAAATTATGGCCCTAGAATTATTGATCTCACTCTACCTTTTTCAACGATACCTCACATGTGTTGCACAACTTATGTTTATGTAGCACCCCTCTAGGTAGCCAGGGGGAGCTAGTTGCTAAATGTTAGTTAGAAAGGCTGAGAAGCAGCTTGGGGAATCAGTCAGCAGGGTCAAATTTGGGTCAAGGCTGAGAGGCTCTGCAAGTCAGTTCCTTGATACTTCCCCCTGCTCTAGAATCTTGGAGCAGATTCTAGAAGCAGTGGATGGGGGTGAGGAGGAGCTGGCATGCACACTCAGAGGACTCTGGCCAATCCCCAAGCAGGAGGCTTGGCATGGGGCCAGGGCAGCCTTTAAGTGTGGCTGAGCCTGCTCGTCAGTAGGAGAGTTTGGGTGGAAGATGGAGTGTGAGGAAGAGTTGTAGGAGCCTGGGAGGGGGCCCAGTGGGAAGGGGCTCACCTACAGGCAGGAAACTTGAAAGGAGAACTATTTGGATCTAACCTGCCCCTAGAGTGATGACCGCCTGTGGAGCAGGGAAGTTGCCCCTCCAGCAGAACGCCTGAAGTCCACTATCAACCCACCAGCTCACAGGACTGAGTAAGCAATCTCACATCTTCTGGGCCAGTTAAGGGGTGAGGAGCATTTGGGTAGGAAACCTGACTCGCTCTCAGACTGTTCATCTGAATTTGGCAGACACTGGATCCCCTTGTCCAGGCATTCCTCCCGATATCTGTGTAAAGAAGAGGATTATCTGAGATCTGGGATGGTACACCAGGAGAGGCTGGAGAGCTCTCCAACAAGAGTTTGCTGCAAGGAGACTTGTACATAGTTGCCAGGAAGTTGTCCTCCGTTTGCTGTTCCTTGGGCATCCCATACACCCCTCTACCCCATGCAAGTTCAAATACCCCTAACAAAACATAAAAAAACAAGCTCAAGGACTATTTACTGTCTCCTGTATGCAAGCTGGAATGCAAGTCTGAAGAAAATGCATGTTGCTTGGCTGTGCAGCACTGTAGGAGGACCCAAATACTTAGCAACTCCCACGGGGGTAGTGCTACATTTACGGAAAAAAAATGCTTGCCCTACGCTGTGCATTTTTAATTACTATTATTTTATTCATAAAAGTTTGTTTAACTTTTTTTTTTTTTTATTCAACTTTACTGCTAAGTGATAACATTTGGCAGGTGACAGGTCCATAAGACGCACTTTTTGTCAGTGCGTCTTATAGAGCGAATATAAAGCGGCCGGTTCGGTATTTCTGCCACCACCATGTCAGAATACCGGGCCGGCCGCTCAGCTCTTCTCTCCTGCAGGGCCTTACCTGTTCCTCGCTCCAGCACTGCACAGTCTGGTGTCTTCTGGGACACATGACAGGCTCCAGAAGGTGCCGAGCCATTCACAAAGCGCAGCGCTTCTCGCACATGCGCAGTGGGCACCCGGCTGTCACAGAAGCCGCCGCGGGAAGAAAAGGGAAAGACAACTCCGCGGAAGTGGGAGCGGGTACCTGTCAAATTCAGGTACCCACTCCCTCTCCTTCCCCAAAGGTCCGCAGTCTCTGGTCATCTCCTTTACTGTCCGCAGTCTCTGGTCATCTCCTTTACTGTCCGCAGTCTCTGGTCATCTCCTGTACTGTCCACAGTCTCTGGTCATCTCCTGTACTGTGTCTGCAGTCTCTGGTCATCTCCTGTACTGTGTCTGCAGTCTCTGGTCATCTCCTGTACTGTGTCCACAGTCTCTGGTCATCTCCTGTACTGTGTCCGCAGTCTCTGGTCATCTCCTGTACTGTGTCCGCAGTCTCTGGTCATCTCCTGTACTATGTCCGCAGTCTCTGGTCATCTCCTGTACTATGTCCGCAGTCTCTGGTCATCTCCTGTACTGTGTCCGCAGTCTCTGGTCATCTCCTGTACTGTGTCCGCAGTCTCTGGTCATCTCCTGTACTGTGTCCGCAGTCTCTGGTCATCTCCTGTACTATGTCCGCAGTCTCTGGTCATCTCCTGTAGTATGTCTGCAGTCTCTGGTCATCTCCTGTACTGTGTCCGCAGTCTCTGGTCATCTCCTGTACTATGTCCGCAGTCTCTGGTCATCTCCTGTACTATGTCTGCAGTCTCAGGTCATCTCCTGTACTATGTCCACAGTCTCTGGTCATCTCCTGTAGAATGTCCGCAGTCTCTGGTCATCTCCTGTACTGTGTCTGCAGTCTCTGGTCATCCCCTGCACTGTGTCCGCAGTCTCTAGTCATCTCCTGTACTGTGTCCGCAGTCTCTGGTCATCTCCTGTACTGTGTCCGCAGTCTCTGGTCATCTCCTGTACTGTGTCCGCAGTCTCTGGTCATCTCCTGTAGTATGTCCGTAATCTCTGTCATCTCCTGTACTATGTCTGCAGTCTCTGGTCATTCCCAGTACTGTGTCCGCAGTCTCTGGTCATCTCCTGTACTATGTCTGCAGTCTCTGGTCATCTCCTGTACTATGTCTGCAGTCTCAGGTCATCTCCTGTACTATGTCCACAGTCTCTGGTCATCTCCTGTAGAATGTCCGCAGTCTCTGGTCATCTCCTGTACTGTGTCTGCAGTCTCTGGTCATCCCTGTACTGTGTCCGCAGTCTCTGGTCATCTCCTGTACTGTGTCCGCAGTCTCTGGTCATCTCCTGTACTGTGTCCGCAGTCTCTGGTCATCTCCTGTACTGTGTCCGCAGTCTCTGGTCATCTCCTGTACTGTGTCCGCAGTCTCTGGTCATCTCCTGTACTGTGTCTGCAGTCCATTGGTTCAGAATATTTTTTTCTTGTTTTTCGCCTCTAAAACCTAGGTGCGTCTTATGGTCAGGTGTGTTTTATGGAGCGAAAAATACAGTATATTAGACTCCCAAAGTCTTTCATGTCTTCCACTGCAGCTAATCAAGCACAGATCATGCTTGATTAGTGGCATCCTCTGCTACAATGGCTGTAATAGAAATGGATTACATTTGTACATAGTAGATACAGTACACCCAGCCAGTGGCGTCCCGAGGTGCGGGGGGGTGCGAGCCGCACCGGGTGACACCAACCGCATGGGGTGACACGGACCCGCTCCATGAAAAGGTAAGTTGTAAAGCAAGCTGGCGATCGATCCAGTGTCACCCCATACAGGTTGTGGAGCATAATGGATCAGACTCCAATCCATTATGCTCAATCCGCAGATCTGAACCATCCTGCGGGGATCGTCAGCATGCAACCTATACAGGGTGACACGGGACCCGCTCCACAAAAAGGTAAGTTGTGAAGAAAGCCGACGATCCCCGCAGGATGGATAGGATCTGCGGATTGAGCATAATAGATAGAGTCCGATGCATTATGCTCAATCTGCAGATCCGATCCATTCTGCGGGGATCGTCGGAGGGGGTGTCACCAAGTGTTACTGCACCGGGTGACACCAACCCTAAGGACGCCCCTGTACCCAGATTTAGGCTAGGTTCACAGCTATGCAGTTTGCTTGATCTGTTTCTGCAGTGCTTTTTGTGGTGCATTTTTGCACATGCGTTTTTGAGGCATTTTGCGTTTTTATAGGGTTTTTTTTGGCCAAATTGTTACTGGGCAAATTAAAAACGCAACACGCATCGAAAATGCATCAAAAACACACTGCATGCGTTTCTGCAGCACCTCCATTGATGTCTATTAAACCAAAATGCAACGTTTTGCATTTTTAAAAAAAGTCCCTGACCCTTTCCACGAATCGCACCGGGTGAAAACGCAGAGATGTGAGCCTGTCCCAAAGGAAATCATGTTAACTGGACTATAGTGCGTTTCTGCAAAATGCCCCCAAAACACTTAGGTGTGGACCTAGCCTAAGGGTGTCTCCACTCTGGATTGAGGAGAAACAGAGACACCTTTGGACAGCTGCGTTGTCAGTCTGGGGAGGAGGGGAGTGTTAGCTGTACTAGCAGATTTCGGTACACTAACAAATTAATTCCAGCTGTGGGTGGGGTCAGTGGTGTATTTAGGTTTTGTGCTGCCCTAGGCAACACAAAAATCGTCTGACCCCACGGACAACAACCCCCCCATGGAGAGAGCTTGACCAACAAAACCCTGCCTCCCACCTGGGAGAGCCTTCCACTATCCCCCCACCCCCGTATTAGAGAGAAAGACGCTCATCTTCACAGCTCCAGACATCCCCAGGAATGAGAGTCAGGCTCTGCATATACCTTCAAGCAGCCCGTAGCCTCTCTCGGATCACACCTGGTTCCAAGGAGAGATGCTGCCCCCCTGAAAAATGCCGCCCTAGGCAAATGCCTTGTTTGCCTTGTGGTAAATATGCCTCTGGGTGGGGCTCTAGAGTCTGCGCTATGGGAATGTAGTCCCTTGTAGGATTGATCCAAAGGGCCCTTTAGAGGGTTGAATTCCCAGATGAGGTGGTACCAGGGGCAGACTGACCATTTGGAAACTCGGGCACTGCCCGAGGGCCCGGGTTCAGTAGGGGGCCCCATGAGATGCCCCTGGTACCTTTTTCATAGGCTTTTTTGAGTTTGGGCAAGGACACAGGGGCCCCATGATCCCCAATTGCCTGGGGGCCCCATGAGTTGTCAGTCCACCCCAGGGTGGTACAGATCATGCGAAGAATAGCTGGGGATCATGCTGTTTGGAAGGTGCAATTAGCTTGTCTGTCACTAGGTGGCTCTGTTGCCATTCTGGTATGATATGGGAAAGTTGTAGGCAGGGGCAGACTGACCATTTGAGCACTCGGGCACTGCCCGAGGGCCCGGGATCAGTAGGGGGCCCCATGAAATGCTCCTAGTAGGCTTTTATAGGCTTTTTTGGGTGTGCTTAGAGTGTGGGCAAGGACACAGGGGCCCCATGATCTCCTATTGCCCGGGGACCCCATGAGTTGTCAGTCCGCCCCTGGTTGTAGGCAGGTATTAGCTCCCCAGGGGCGGACTGACAACTCATGGGGCCCCCGGGCAATAGGGGATCATGGGGCCCCTGTGTCCTTGCCCAAACTCAAAAAAGCCTAAGAAATAGGTACCAGGGGCATCTCATGGGGCCCCCCACTGACCCCGGGCCCTCGGGCAGTGCCCGAGTTTCCAAATGGTCAGTCCGCCCCTGTAGCTCCCCTTTTACAGAGATGAGACACAGATGGCAAAAATAAAAGCCTGACAGGAGCTATAACCCTCCTTACTCTATCCAAAATGAAAAAAAAAAAAGATATTGCCTTAAGTTCCACATTGACCTCGCTTTGCCGGTCCAGCTGCAGTCGCAGTGTGACGTGACGCACAGGTATCTGTGTTCACAGGAATGTTACATTGTATCATTGTGTCATAAATAACCATTCAAAAAAAAAAAAAAACAAGGAGATTTTCTGATAGTCGGCAATTTGAGACGAGCGTCGCGCTCAAGGTGAAACACGCCGCCGCAGCCTCATAGCTGAGCAAAAATCTGCAGCTGTGCCGAGCGCCCCAGGCGTCCTCCTCTCTATAAACGGCGGGTGTTCTTTGAAGAGCGGAGTATTTTTAATTATACATTTTATGGCGGAATCTCTTCATCAAATAAACATGCTGCATTTTATACCCGCTCCTGGGAACGCAGCAAAAAAAAAGCTCATTGCGACGCGCTGAGTACCGTTTACCTTGTGGAAATGGCTTTCCCAAAATACCGCGTGAGTCTTAAATACAGCCGAGGTGAAACTGAGGCTTCATGGGAAATGTTTGTTGCTGCTTCTGTGCTTCTCAATGGAGGGATCAATCTGTCAAGACTGCAGTATCTCCCATTCGCAGATCTGACAGTTTCATATTACAGGCATTGGTTTTTGAGGGGGACGGTGTTAAGACATTATTCAAAGATTAGAGAAAGTTCTGGCATCAGCCAGGAGTGGACCTAGCAATATATATATATAAATAAAAAATCAAGCCCCTAGGCATGCAGACGGCTTCTACAAACATTGGTGAAAGAATGGGTCGCTCTCAGGAGCTCAGTGACTCCAAGCGTGGTCCCGTGATAGGTGGCCACCTGGGCAATAAGTCCATCCGTGACATTTCCTGGCTACTAAATATTCCACGCTCAACTGTTAGTGGATTATAACAAAGTGGAAGCAACTGGGAACACCAGCAACTCAGCCACCAAGTGGTAGGCCACGTCACATGACAGGGCGGGGTCAGCGCATGCTGAAGCGCACAGTGCGCAGAAGTCACCAACTGTCTGCAGAGTCAATAGCTAAAGACCTCCAAACTTGGTGTGGCCTTCAGATGAGCCCAACAACAGTGTGTAGAGAGCTTCATGGAATGGGTTTCCATGGCCGAGCAGCCGCATCCAAGCCTTACATCACCAAGTGCAATGCAAAGCGTCGGATGCCGTGGTGTAAAGCACGCTGCCACTGGACTCTAGAGCAGGGGAGACGTGTTCTCTGGAGTGACCAATCACCCTTCTCTGTCTGGCAATCCGATGGACGTGTCTGCGTTTGGCGGCACTTAACAGTACTTGCCTGACTGCATTGTGCAAAGTGTAAAGTTTGGTGGAGGGGGGGATTATGGTGTGGGGTTGTGTTTCAGGGTTTGGGCTTGGCCCCCTAGTTCCAGTGAAGGGAACTCTTAAGGCGTCAGCATATCAAGACATTTTGGACAATTTCATGCTCCCAACTTTGTGGGAAGAGTTTGGGGATGGCCCCTTGCTGTTCCAACATGACTGCACACCAGTGCACAAAGCAAGGTCCATAAAAACATGGATGAGCGAGTTTTAGGTGGAGGAACTTGACTGGCCTGACCTCAACTCCATAAAACACCTTTGGGATGAATTATAGCAGATGCAGTGGTGTAAAGCATGCTGCCACTGGACTCTAGAGCAGTGGAAAAAAAAAACCCTACAAAAAAAGAAAGAATGGACTATCTCGGTATCCATAAAAAGCACAGTAAATATAAAAAATTGTATTCTTTATTATAGTTACATAAAAAATGTTTTTCACCAAACACATCTATACATTCATTTATTAACATTCATATTTTGAGAGCATAGTATAATGCATCACATCAGTCAAAGTGACAATGGCTCCACCCTAAACAGATGTAAGTTTGGGGAAAAGCATTGACATGTTTCGTGGACTAACTCTGCTTCTTCAGGAGGAAAAGTCAAGAGTAGTTCTAAAATAACAACAAACCAAAAAAAATTGAACTAAAAGTATAACATAAAGCAAATGTCAATTGTATAATGATGACTTTCGATCGATAATTAAGTCTCACCCTTGCGGACTCATGGGGGTTTATTTACTAAAGCTGGAGAGTCCAAAATCAGACTCCCTTCTGCATAGAAACCAATCAGCTTCCAGGTTTCATTGCCAAAGCTTCATTGAACAAGCTGAGGTTAGAAGCTGATTGGTTTCTAGGCAGAAGGGAGTCTGATTTTGGACTCTCCAGATTTAGTAAATAAACCCCATGGTGACCACAAGCCTACCAGGGGCATCAATATATCTCCTCGCGGCGGACACAAAGGGCAAAGTAGGCACAACACCTATGTGGCTGAAGAAAACAAAACCATAAAATAGGAAGAGAGAGAGAGAAAAAAAATAAAGTAAAAACTAAACTTAAAACAATAATAGAAGATGTAAATAAGCCAGGAGGAGGTTGAAAATATAAAAAATGAAGACTGGTATTGCATAATGG